CACCCATCTTTCTTTCTAATTAACCATATATCATAAAAGGCTAGGGAATCTTGGAAGCACAGAGTTTAGGAAAGTACTGAGAGAAGTTCAAATGAAGAGACTAGTACCCCCAAAATTCTGAGGTTCAAAGCTTTTGGAGAATTAAAAAATCTTCAGGAGAATACTCTGGGGCTCATTTGAGAGTGGTTTTCACCTTCTGCTGAGGCAGTATCTTTATAGTTTGACTGTTCTAGAGATGATGGACGTGATAGTCAAGATCATTAAATTCCTTACAAAGGCAAGCAAGGGTTTAGGTCCAGGTTCTGTAAGTCAGTGATTAGATAATGTTTCCTTGGGGCTGGGGAATGGTGGGAACTAGTGGTAAAATTGAGTACCTTAGAAGACATTACAGGAGAAACAAATAAGTATAAAGTACTATAATTTGTACTTTTATAATACTGAACTCAGTGACCTCAACTCAATATACATTAATTCAATAAACACTTATTAAGCACCTACTGTGTGCAAGCCACTATTACTCTATTGTTTATCAGTAGCCTGGAGAAATTTCAAAAATTATACTTAGCTGAAAATTCTTTGGATTTCCTCTTTGGAAATGACACTCAGAGGCTGTGCAACATCCTTATGAATGGCCTCAATGGTGGCAATAGAACTGGCTTTGCAAAGCACTTTATAAATATTATCTCATTTTTATCCTCACAACAACCCTTGGAAGTAAAAGTAAGTGCTGTTATCCCAATGTTATCCCCACTTTACAGATGAGGAAACTGAATCAGACTGAAATTAAGTCACTTGCACAGAGCCACACAGGTTGCAAGTGTTTGAGGCTGGATTTGAATTCAGGTCTTCATGAATCCAGGTCCAGCACTCTATCCACCACACCACCAACTTTTTATTGGATTTATTGATGTTTCAGAAATAATTGTAGAAGTTTTTATTATCTTATTTCTTCTCTTCCTCAACTCAGACTCAGACCCAGCAGCAATACAACAGTGAGAAACCAGACTAGCACCTCTGAGTTCCTTCTCTTGGCCTTTTCCAGTCACCAAGAGATCCTGTTACTGTTGTTCTTGGCTCTGTACTTGGCAGCCCTCCTGGGAAACCTGCTTATTCTTGTTGCCATTGGATTATGCTCACATCTCCACACACCTATGTACATGCTTCTGGTTCACCTGTCGCTGGCAGACTTGTGCTTCACATCTACCACAATGCCCCGACTTCTCCATGCCCTGCTGACAGGGGACAGGACTATCACCCATTCAGCCTGTCTGACCCAAGTCTTCTTCTTCCTGTTGGCAGGCAATGTGGACAGCTATGTGTTAGCTGCCATGGCATGGGATCGATATGTGGCCATATGCCAACCACTTCACTATGCTACTGTGGTAACCCAGCCACGGTGTGCAGTCCTCCTGGGGGCTGTGTGGGTGGGCACAGCCCTGCACTCTCTGCTTCACACATTCCTCACTGTCCGCTTGTTCTTCTGCAGCAACCATGCCCTTCCACACTTCTATTGTGATGTCTATCCCTTGTTGCAGATTGCCTGCTCTGATACCTCCCTCAACTTCCTAGTTGCCCTAAATGAAGGAGGATCCACC